CTTCTGCTTCCCTCGCGCGCTGGCGCTTCGCGGAAGCTTCCGCCCCCTGCCTTTGCCATTTCCCATGAGCCATGCCGCCCCGTCCTCAACCTTGTTGTACCACACCTCCCCGTCCTTGGCGCTCTTTCTATTTGCCTCCTTCCGTTTCGTCTCCCATGTTGAAGGCCACGAGGTCCTCTCCGAGACGAGACACCCAGTCAGTCTCCTGCCCGTCCCGGTATCCCACGCCACTGCCATCGCTCCGAACAGCATGCGCTTTGGGAAGCGGCTGTCCTCCATGCGCAAAAGAAAGCCCGCGAAACACAGTCTCCGTTTGCGCACGGTGGCCTCGATGGTTTCCTCGCAGCCTGCCTGGATGAGGGCCTGGGCACAGGGGGCAGTCTGAGCGTTTCCGCTTGCTCCAGTCGATGCACCGTGTAAGGAACTGGCGGTTGGTTCCATTGAGCTTCGTTTAGTAATCGGCTGTGTAGGCACCACGAGGCGAACCCTATAGGAGAGTCTCCACCACTTCAGCCTGGATTAGCCGGATCTTGAGCTGGCGGTTGGCCCGTCGCCTGTCGTACATCGAAGCACTGTTCCGGCGGTAGCACTTCCACGCTCGGCAGCTGCGGCTCGTGATCTCCCGGTCGGCCTTCCCGTCCGCGGAGATGGTACGTCCGAGGTACACAAACCGATCTGTCTGCTTGTACGTCTGGCCGGCGGCGCTGACCGTGAACGGGCGTTCCTCGATCCCTTTCGGCAGCATGCACATGATCTCCGTCTTTGGCTCCGACACCATCAGATCGAACAGGCCGGCCACGCGCACGATGACCGACATAATCTTTTCGAGACTCTCTGGCAAGCGCGAGACGATGGCCGCGTCGTCAGCGTAGAGCATGGCCCACAGGGCCTCCTCGTCCGTCACCACCGTCGTCTTCTTCCTCGCCGACCTGCCCTTCTTGCCCGTGTACTCCACTTGTGTCCCGATCTTGACCATGTCCGCCGTCACCTTGGGGTCCTTGTCGAACTCGGCCACGGCGACCATGAGCATCGCGGCAAAGAACAAGTTGAAAAGCAGCGGGGCCAGGTTGCATCCCTGTCGGAGGCCTTGGCCCACGTCGAACCATTCTGAGTACTGCCCGTCGTCCGTTCGGACGCGTGCCCTCATGCCCTCGTGGAAGTGGCGAATGACCGCCAGCATCTTTGGCGGCACGCCGAAGCGTCGGAGCAGGTCCCACAGTACGTCCGGTCCACCAAATCCTGTCTTGGCGAGGCCGACGAATCACGCGAACACCGCAGTACTCTTCTTCCTCGCGAGCTCATGGAGCCGCTGGATGGCGAACAGCATGTCGAGCGTCGACCGGTGTGGG